AAATTTCATCTATAACAGGAGGTGTGACTGTAAAATTTCATCTATAACAGGAGGTGTGACTGTAAAATTTCATCTATAACAGGAGGTGTGACTGTGAAGTCATACTTTCAGAAGAGCTTCTGAGGTCTTTTAAGTCTGAGTCACATCATGCCAACTTCAACTCAGTAAACGTTTAGTGAGTGGCTACTGTGTGCCAGCTAAGAGCCAGGAGTCGGGGGCTGAGTTGATTCTGGTATTCAGAATTGAGCCCCAGACATTGAGAGCCTACTAATCACTGTTGAGCACCTACTATGTGCCAGGCCCTAAGCAAGGCACTGAGGATGTATCCAGGCACTAATGATTTATATGAAATGGTGATTAAATACTTGGGGATTGAGAACAAATCAAAGTTGGGGGGTGGATTAAGGAAGGCTCCCTGAGGAAAAGGCCTTTGAGCTGAGACTAGAAGCAAAAATAGGAGTTGGTTAGAAGACTAGGGGAAAAATTGACCTGGGAAGGGAATTCTGGGCAGAGGGACCAGTGTTTACCAAGGTCGTGAGGCATGAAAAAGAAGGGGACTCTCTCCTGTGTAGGTGTGTAGAGGATAACAGAAAGCACAGGATTCTTGCAGGCATTGTTGTGAAGTGCTATCAAATTGGTTCTGACTCATAGCGACCCTATATGTACAACAGAATGAAACACTGCCTGGTCCTGCGCCATCCTCACAATCGTTGCTATGCTTGAGCCCATTGTTGCAGTCACTGTATCAATCCACCTCACTGAGTGTCTTCCTCTTTTTCACTGACCTTCCACTTTACCAAGCATGGTGTCTTTCTCCAGGGACTGATCCGTCCTGATAACACGTCCAAAGTATGTGAGATGTAGTCTCGCCACCTTTGCTTCTAAGGAGCATTCTGGCTGTACTTCTTCCAAGACAGATTTGTTCGTTCTTCTGGCAGTCCACGGTGTTTTCAATATTCTTCGCCAACACCATAATTCAAAGGCATCAATTCTTCTTTGGTCTGCCTTATTCATTGTCCAGCTTTCGCATGCATATAAGGCAATTGAAAACACCATGGCTTGTCTTAAAAGCTTGCGAGCAGCCATCTAAGATGCATCGATTGGTCCCAATCCACTTGGAGAAAAGGAGAATGAAGAACACCAAAGACACAGGAAAATATTAGCCCAAGAGACAAAAGGTCCACATAAACCAGAGACTCCATCAGGCTGAGACCAGAAGAACTAGATGATGCCTGGCTACCATCAATGACCACCCTCAGGGAACACAACAGAGAGTTCCAGACAGAGCAGGAGAAAAAGTGCGGAGCAAAACTCAAATTCATGCAAAAAGACCAGACTTAATGGTCTGAGACTGGAGGAACCCCCGAAGCCATGGCCCCCAGATTCTCTGTTAACCCAGAACTAAAACCATTCCCGAAGCCTACTCTTCAGAGAAGGATTAGACTGGACTATAAAACATAAAATAATACTTGTGAAGAGTGTGCGTCTTAGTTCAACCAGATACATGAGACCAAATGGACAGTTCCTGTCCAGAGGCAGGATGGGAAGGAAGGAAGGGACAGAAACTGGTTGAATGGACACGAGAAACCCAAGATGGGAAGGGAGAGTGTGCTGTCATATTATAGGGATTGCAACTAATATCACATAACAATATGTGTATAAATTTTTGTATGAGAAATTAACTTGAGCTGTAAACTTTCACCTAAAGCACAATAAAAAGAAAGAAAATACCATGGCTTGGGTCAGGCATACCTTCGTCTTCAAGGTGGCATCTTTGCTTTTCAACACTTTAAAGAGATCTTTTGCAGCAGATTTGTCCAGTGCAATGCATCTTTTGATTTCTTGACTGCTGCTTCTGTGGGTGTTGATTGCGGATCCAAGGAAAATGAAATCCTTGACAACTTCAAACTTTTCTCCGTTTATCATGATGTTGCTTATTGGCCCAGTTGTGAGGATATGTTTTCTTTATGTTGAGGTGTAATCCATACTGAAGGCTGTGGTCTTTCATCTTCTTCAGTAAGTGTTTCAAGTCCTCTTCACTTTCAGCAAGCAAGGTTGTGTCATCTGCATAACGCAGGTTGTTAATGAGTCTTCTTCCAATTATGATGCCCCGTTCTTCATATAGTCCAGCTTCTCAGATTATTTGCTGAGCATACAGATTGACTAGGTATGGTGAAAGGATACAACCTTGACGCACACCTTTCCTGACTTTAAACCACGCAGTATCCCCTTGTTCTGTTCAAACAACTGCCTCTTGATCTATGTACAGGTTCCTCACGAGCACAATTAAGTGTGCTGGAATCGCCATTCTTCGAAATGTTATCCACAATTTGTTATGATCCACACAGTCGAATGCCTTTGCATAGTCAATAAAACACAGATAAACATCTTTCTGGTATTCTCTGCTTTCAGCCAGGATCTATCTGGCATCAGCAATGCCGGCATTAGCGTAGATATAATGTGTGAAGAGTGCTTGACTCAGTACCTTGCACACTGAACATGCTCAGATATCGCCAGTGGTATCTGAGACTGTGATGTTAAACCGGTTTTGAATTCTTTTAGTCCTACTAAAAAGTCCCATAAGGAGCCGTGGTGGCAATGGTTAAGCCCCTAGCGATTGGCCCCACCCAGCGGCTCTGCAGGAGAAAGACCTGGCAATTGGCTTCCATAAAGATTACAGTCTAGAAAACGCTACGGAGCAGTTCTGCTGTCACATGGGGTCGCTATGAGTTGAAATCTACTGATGGCCCCTGACAACAACAAAAAGTCCTATGCTGGAATACTTAACCGTCGTTATTAGAATGTACAAAGTCCTGCTCCTCTACCCCACCTTGTACCCCTACACAGAGAGTGAGACAGAGAGAGAGAGTTACTGATTTTTTTGTCCCCGGGATTACGCAAAACTGCACAAACTGGAGGCAATGGGGAAGCTACCGACGGTTTTTAACCAGGGCGGGGGGCCGGGCACCCGGGGGGGCCGGCTGGGCGCGAGTGCCCGCCCCTCTCCACCCAGCGGCGGGGCGGCCCCGGGGGATGCCCATTGGCTTCCGGGCCGTGTCACTTCCCGACGGTGGGAGCCGAGGCGGGCGGCGAGGACCTGGGCCCTGGCCGCGGACCGCAGAAGGGCGGACATGGTGGGGGCCCGGCAGTGGTCCCCCCTGCTCCTCTGCCTGCTGCAGTCCGCTCCATGTCAAGGTAAAGGCGGCCAGGGAGGCGAGGGGCGGCGGGGCGAGCCGGGGCTCCCGTGGGGGCGGGGGTGGGGGGCGGCCGCAGGGCGCCGGCAGCCACAGCAGCGGGGTGCGAATCAGCCTCGCCCGCCCACCGCGTTTGCTGTTGCCGGTGGACTACACAGACCCGGGTCTGAGAATTCCTTTCCGGAGGAACCGAATCCAGGTTCCTCAGTGCTTCAGGTGAACTTAAAAAAGAAAAGAGAAAACAGCAGTTTAAAAAGTGACTGCCTTTATTTATAAAGTGCTTTTTTAAGGTTTCTTAAACCACTACCCCCCGCATTAATGCCCTGCCCTTCCCTGTAGCCCCATCCCCTCCCTCAGGCTGGGGGTGGCCGAAGCTGCTCCCAGGGCTAGGGGAGGGGCGGGGGGTGGAGGCGGGCGAGGAATGGAGCTATGGCTTCGCCTGGCCTTGCGGTGTCCCTAGCAAGCCGCCTTTTTTTTCTGAGCCCTCCCCCACTGGAAAATAAAGTGGCCCCGTTGCCATCGAGTCGATTCCGACTCAGCGACCCTGTAGGACAGAGTAGAACTGCCCCATAGGGTTTCCAGGCAGCAGCTGGTGGATTCTAACTGCCGACCTCTTGGTTAGCAGCGTAGCATTTAACCACTCTGCCAGTGGCCTGCAGGGAACAAAATACCCCCAGCCTTTCCACGATTGATCCCAAAATTGCCTCAGGATATCTTCCTGGTCTTAACTCTTTGCTATGGAGTCGTTCTGATTCATAGTGACCCTATAGGACAGAGTAGAACTGCCCCATAGGGTTTCCAAGGCTGTAATCTTTAGGAAGCTGACTGCCACATCGTTTTTGACAGGGCGACTGGTAGGTTGGAACTGCCAACGTTTTGATTAGCAGCTGAGCACTTAACCACTGTACCATCAGGGCTCCTTTTCCTGATCTTAGACACAATTTAAGAGCTAGAAGGGCCCTGGGACATAACCTAATAATAATAGTAAAAGCCAACATTTATTGAGCAACGTCTATGATTTAGGCACCACGTTACTATCCTATTTAAGTTTCACAACAGCCCTATGAGGTAGATATTATTTCCCCCCTTTTCAGATGGGGAAACTGAGGCTTAAAGCAATTGAGGGAGTTGCCTAGGACAGAAGGGGGAGGTGAGAAACAGTACAGAGAAGACTGAGGCTAGATCAAGCATGACCAGCTTTGGCCTCCAGGGCGGGCAGCTGGAGCAGGACTGGCCATCCACCTGGGTCAGTGGGGTGATGCCCTAACCCCTCACGCCTTCACAGCTGTGAGTGTTTCTACCCTGATGAGGAACAGTGTACCCGGGGCGGGGGGAGGGGAGTGTCCTTTAACCCCATGTGTCATTATCATTCTCAATAGCTTTTCTATCCAGACCTGGCTGTACTTTGACCTGAGGACTATACGACACAGATGGTGGTGTCATGGTTAAGGTCTAAGAGCAGCCAGATCCACACTGAAATCCTGGCTTCCACACAAACTGCCTGTGTAGTCTCAGGCAAATTATTTAACAGGTCTCTGAGCCTCCTGCCCCGTCTGTGGAGCAGAGAAGACACCAACCCCAGAGGATGATTTGTCCTGAGGATTAAGTGAGGTTTTGTGTATAAAGTGCCAAACCAGTGCCTGGCACCCCGTGAAGCCTCAGTAGAGGGTGGCTATTCTAGCTGCTCTTTCTTCTGTGTGACTAGGCGCAGACTTTGGGCCTGTCCTGCCCATACACTGCCTTACAGATGGCTTGTAAGCAGACTTGGGCCTCCTGCCGGTCACCTGCTGTCCTAGTTATCTAGTGCTGCTATAACAGAAATACCTCAAGTGGATAGCTTTAACAAACAAATTTATTTTCTCACAGTCTAGGAAGCTAGAAGTCCAAATTTACGAGCGCTGGTTCTAGGGGAAGGCTTTCTCTCTCTGTGGGCTCTGGAGGAAGATCCTCATCTCTTCAACTTCCGCTTCCTGGTTCCTTGGAGATCTCCATGTGTCTTGGCATCTATTTACCCCATCTCTCCTCTGCCTGTTTGTTTAATCTCTTTTATATCTCAAAAGAGATTGACTCAGGATACACGCTCCACTGATCCTGCCTCATTAACATAATAGAGACGACCCATTCCCAAATGGGATTATAATCACAGGCATAGAGGTTAGGATTTACTATACATATTTTGGGGGGGATATAATGCAATCCGTAACACCTGCTAAGGAGCCCAGAACCTGGTTTGCAATGACAGTGTCTTGGTTATCTAGTGCTGCTATAACAGAAATACCACAAGTGGATGGCTTTAACAAACAGAGGTTTATTCTCTCACAGTCTAGTAGGCTAGAAGTCCAAACTCAGGGCGCCAGCTCCAGGAAAAGGCTTTCTCTCTCTGTCAGCTCTGGAGGAAGGTCCTTGTCATCAATCTTCTCTGGTCTAGGAGCTTCTCCGAGCAGGAACCCTGAATCCAAGGACGCATTCTGCTCCCAGCGCTGCTTTCTTGGTGGTATGCGGTCCCCCACTCTGCTCATTTCCTTTTCGTTTTATCTCTTGTAAGACAGAAGATGGTGCAGGCCACACCTCAGGGAAACTCCCTTTACATTGGATCAGGGATGTGACCTTAGCAAGAGTGTTACAGTCCCACCCTAATTCTTTTTAACATAATCTAATCTTGCCTCATTAACCACAGGTAGAGATTAGGGTTTACAACACATAGGAAAATTACAATCACAAAATGGAGGACAACCACACAATACTGGGAATCCTGGGCTAACCAAGTTGACACATATTTTGGGGGGACACAATTCAATCCATGACAGACACCATCAGCATCCAGGTGATCCAGTTAAGCTATGCGACACAGGACAAGGTGGGAATGGGGGCCTCCATTTGGGTCCAAAAAGTCAAGGGTGGGCAGCCCAAGCTGGGGAACTGAGCCAAGAGCCCCTCAGTAAAACTGGCCTCTCCCTCTCTGATGCCGTTCTGCAACCTGTGTGGATTTCCGTCATGGCCCACATGACACATCAGAGTGCTGAATTCTCTGTGGGACCATGAGCTCCTGAAGGGCAGGGATCGAGCTGTATTCCTCTTGGAAACCCCAGCACCCAGCACAGGGCCTGGCACAGCGGTCAGTAGATGTTTATTGGAGGAATGAAGCTGAACAGGCCCCATGAGGACCTAGAAGAGGAAGTAACGGTCAAGAGCTCACACATGGGAGTTGACTAGGCCTGGATTTGCTTCTACAACTTACTAGCTGAGAAGGCCCCAATTACCTCCTCTATAACGTGATTAATGAGTATCTACTTCCTAGAGGTATAGGGAGGATTGAATGAGAAAACACAGGTAAAGTACTTAGCACAATGCCTGATTCACAGGACACAGTACATGGTAGCTGCTATTATTCTTTATCATCATCATCATCATCACCACCACCTCTCTGGAGAATTCCCTGGAGAATGTGACTTTTTGAATCAGGTCTTTAAAAGATTAGATGGTGAACACCAGGCAGTCAAAGACAGCTGGATTCAAAGACATCCAAAAGAATGCAGTGGTTTGGGAACAATGAGGAGGAAGATAGGCTGTGGTCTGGTGAAGTGTGGTGAAGCTGTCTGGGAGAGGTCAGTCAGATGGCCGGGCCAGGAGCATGGACTTTATTCTGAGGACAAAGGAAGGGCAGGAGACTGGGGGGTGGTATAATCAGACACACATTTCAGTTATTTATTTATTTATTTTTATTGTTGTAGTTCAAGTGAAAGCTAACAATTCAAGTTTGTCTCTCATACAAAAATTTATACGTACATTGTTCTGTGACCCTAATTGCTTTGCCTATGCTGTGACAGCACACTCCTCCTTTCCACCTCAGATTTCCCATGTCCATTCAACCAGCTCTTAACCCTCTCTGCCTTCTCATCTGACCTCCGGACAAAAGCTGTCCATTTAGTCTCATGTCTCTACTTGAGCTAAGAAGCACGCTCTTCACGAGTATCATTTTATGTCCCATAGTCCAGTCCAATCTTTGTCTGAACAGTTGGCCTCGGGAATTGTTTCAGTTCTGGGTTGACCGAAAGTCTGGGGGCCATGTTTTCTTGGGTTCCTCTAGTCTCAATCAGACCATTAAGTCTGGTCTTTTTACTAGAATGTGAGTTCTGCACCCCATCTTTCTTCTGCTCCATCAGGGACTCTCTGTTGTGTTCCCTGTCAGGGCAGTCATTGGTGGTAGCCAGGCACCATCCAGTTCTTCTGATCTAAGGTTGATGGAGCTTCTGGTTTATGTGACCCTTTTGTCTCTTGGGCTAATGCTTTCCTTGTGACTTTGGTGTTCTTCATTCTCCTTTACTCCAGGTGAGTTGGGACCAATTGATGCATCTTAGATGGCCGCTCACTAGGTTTTAAGACCCCAGACGCCACTCACGAAAGTAGGATACAGAACATTTTCTTAATAAACTTTGTTATGCCAGTTGACCTAGATGTCGCCTGAAACCATGGTCCCCAGACCTCCGCCCCTCCTAGTCTGTCCCTCGAAGTGTTTGGTTGTATTCAGGAAACTTCTTAGCTTTGGTTTACAGACACACATTTCAGAAGATGAGGGTTGGCAATGAGGAGGGGTACCAGGGAGGGAAGTAGGAGCTAGGTAAAGGTCAGGGAAGGTATCATTGAGATAGTGACATCTGAGCAGAGACATGAGAGAAGCAAAGGAGTGAGCTCAATGGATATCCAGGGAAAGCAGTTTAGGCAGAAGGAACTGCATGTGCAAAGGTCCTGAGGTGGGAGTGTGGCTGGCTGTTCTGGGAAAGGAAAAAGGCCAGAGTGACAGGAAAGGAGGGAGCAAGGGGGTGAATAATGGGTGGGACTGGGTAGCGCCTTGTAGGTGATGGTAAGGATTTTGGCTTTTACCTTGAGTGAGTTGGAGGCCATTGGAGAGTTTTAAGCACTTTCATTTCATCCCTTGCTGCTGTGTGGAGACTGGACCAAGGGGGACAAGATTGGAAGCAGGGAGACCAGTTAGGAGGCCTTTAGAATAATCCAAGTTATTGCAGTATTCATTCATTTCCCCCAAGGAATATTTACTGACCACCTATTATATGCCAGGCACCACTGCAGGCTCTGGGGACATGACTGAGAACAAGACAGAGCCCCTGCTCCTTGAGACCCTCAGGGCTGTCCTCTACTGCAGGCAAGAGGGATGCTTGTCCGTTAGATGGTTCCTGTTCTATGGTGTTCCACTGGAGCCCTAGGTCCCTGCAGGCCCCTCCTGGTACAGATGGGATGCTGAGGACTAGGGAGGGGAAGGGACTGTTGAGGCCAGTGCAGGCAGGCAGTGGTAGGGCTGTGACCGGAACCCTCACTCCCGGGCTTCCTGTCCACACCATGTGCTTCTCCACTTCATCCACCCCGGATACTTCTGGCTCCTTATTTGGTGAGCACCTGACTGCGCATCATGCTGCTGTTCAGCTCTGAGTGACCCGTCAAGACCTACCGGGGATTCCAGGCTTCATGACCTCTCTCTGCCCCACAGGGAGACCCCGCCTGGCCCCTCCCCAGAACGTGACGCTGCTTTCTCGGAACTTCAGCGCGTACCTGATGTGGCTCCCTGGGCCTGGCAACCCCCAGAACGTGACTTATTTCGTGGCCTATCAAAGGTAGATGGAGCCCTGGTGGCACAATGGTTAAGCATTTGGTTGCTTACCAAAAGGCCAGCAGTTCGAATCCACCAGCTGCTACTTGGAAACACTATGGGGCAGTTCTACTCTGCCCTATAGGGTCACTATGAGTTGGAATCGACTCGATGGCAACGGGTTTGTGTTTTTTTCAAGGGCAGAGGGGAGCCTCGGGCAGGTGGGAGAGCAGACTATGGACTTGGGGGGTGGGCAGCATGGCTTCTCTGGGATAGTAGCATTCAGTGTGGTCAGCATTCACTGGTTCTGTGTCCCATGGGAGATGGCATGTGGCAGGTACATGGCGAGGGGCGTGCTAGGCTCAGGTAAAGGTCTGGAGGTGGGAATGATATTAAAAGAGCAGTGCACAGGTGATAGCCCTGCCAGGGATGGGGGGCATCTTTGAGCAAAGCTGGAGCAGGGGCTTGGGTGGGGTGGAGGGTCAGGTGATGGAATTCTTTGTGTGTGTGTATGTGCATATATATATACATATATATATATATAATTTTATTTGTTGTTATTGAGAATATACACAGCAAAACATACACCAATTCAACAGTTTCTACAAGTACCATTTAGCAACATTTATTATGTCCTTTGGGTTGTATAACCATTCTCACCCTCCTTTTCTGAGTTGTTCCTCCCTCATTAACATAAATTCACTGCCCCCTAAGGTTCCTGTTTAATCTTTGAGTTGCTGTTGTCAATTTGATCCCATATAGATCATTCTTAAAAGAGCATAATGTTCAAGGCAAACATTTTTTACTAGTTAAGCTAAACTATCGTTTGGTTTTAAGAAGACTTCAGGGAATATTTTTGGTTTAAGGTTTAAAGATGATCTCAGGGCAATAGTTCAGAGGTTCATCCAACCTTCATGGCTCCAGGAAGTCTGGAGTCCATGAGAGTCTGAAATTCTGTTCTGCATTTTCCCGCTTTTGATCAGGATTCTTATATGGAAACTTTGATCAAAATGTGCAGTATATGGTAGCTGGGCACCATCCAGGTCTTCTGGTCTCATGGCAAAGGAGGCAGTTGTTCATGGAGGCAATTAGCCACACATTCTAGGCTCAGGTAAAGGTCTGGTAATAGGTCTTCCTATTCCTGACTCTCTTTCTTCCTCTGTTTGTTCCAGGCAAACAGAGACCAGTTGTTCTGCCTTGGATGGCCACTTGCAAGCTTTTAAGACCCCAGGCACTATGCATCGAACTAGGAGGTAGAAAAGAGGCACTGAACATGTTATTAGGTCACCTAACTGTATATTCCACGAAACCATGACCCTAAACCTCCAAACCAAGAAACCAAATCCCATGAGATTTTGGTTGTACATAAGCAGCCTCAGCAGCTAATCTTTTTTTTTTTTTGTAGTTGTTGTAAATATATATATATATATCACAACTTTTGCCAATTCAGCTTTTTACAGATGTATAATTTATTGACAGCAATTATAATCAGCTGTGCAACCCTGCTCTTAATCAACTCAATATTTCCATCCAGGTGATGGAATTCTTGAGTGCCTGGATGAGGTGCTTAGAGTTGTTCCAGCAGGTTAAAACCAAAAAGACCAAACCCATTGCCAGTGAGTTGATTCCAACTCATGCCAACCCCGTGTGTTACAGATAGAACTGCTTCATAAGGTTTTCTTGGCCATAGTCTTTACAGAAGCAGATCACCAGGTCTTTCTTCCGCAGAGCTGCTGGGCAGGTTCGACCCGCCAATCTTTAGGTTAGTTGTTGAGCACAAACTGTTTGTGCCACCCAGAGACAAAGGGGTTGTACAGTCCCCTACAGAGCCTGTGGCAGGCATCACTAGATGATCACGGCCCTTTTCCCCACTAAGCCTGGACACAACCTTGTGCTCCTTCTCAACTTGTAGCCCAGGTGCCGCTACTAATTGAAAGGAGCCTGAAAGCAGAAGCAGATACACTATCCTTGCACATAGATGAGAATCATTTTAAGTTCTTTGGTGGGAGAGTAATGATAAAAGCAGATACTCAGGCAAATTAATCTGGAATTGTGCGGAGGAGGAAGCAGGAAGAGGAGGGGAATACTGTGCATTCAGAACCCGCCCTGTGCCAGGTGGAGTGCTAAGGACCTTATGCAATATTTTGCTTCCTCCTCCCAGTATCACTGGGCAGGCACTGTATTATCCCTCGTGTAGAGCTGAGAGGGGTGATGACTTGCCCAAGAGTTCCGGTGGTGGAGCCAGAAGAGGAACCTAGCTCTGTCTGAACAGGTGTTTTTCCAATTCCCCCATAATCCCTCCATCTTTAGGATCCAGATGTGAGTCATGGGGACTACGTTGGGAAAGGACAGACTGCAAGAGAGATTTCAAAAGAAATAAAGTCATGTGCCACATAATGTCTGTTAAGGCAACATTCAACCTTGTATACTTCCACGGTCCCATAAGGTTATAATAGAGTTCAGAAATCCTGAGAGAACAGGACGTAACTGGACGTAGTGAATGCAACAGCTTCCCACATGCAACACGTGTATCTCATGTCTCTTGTATACAAAGCAGTTGTGCTGCCAGGCATATATGGTATAGTATATACATAACCTATAATAGTCATAATAAACACCTGTGTTACTGGCTTATATATGTATTGTACTGTACTTTCTATCTTTATTTTAATGTGAACTTTCTCTACTTACAAATAAAAAGTTTACCGTGTAACAGTGTACGCTTCGTCTCATAGGCAGTAGCATTCAGTCTCGTGTATCATGAATCTCTTGAGTATTGTAGCATTATCTCTCTGCTTAATTTTCTTTTGAAAATATTACCGCGAAGTGCATCATGGCTCCCAGACGCAGCAAAACCAGTGCTAGTGATAGCGGCAGCAAGAGGAAAAGAAGTGTTGATTTGGTAGCGAAACAAAAAGTTATTAAACAGCACGAAGGTGGAAAATCAGTGAATGCTATTGCTCGAGATGTAGGCATGTTCGCACAACGTCTGTCCATATCACGTAATGTTCTATTTCACAGAATGCAGTGGGGATGTTAAACGACCCATGACGGTCCTCAGATGAGGAGGCAGAAAGCACCTAACATTTACTGTGTATTTGCCCTGTGTCAGGCACTGGGTCAATACAGGAAATGTATTTAATCCTCAGAACAGCCTATGAGGAAGGGTGTAATACCCCCACTTTACAGATGAGGAAACTGATGCACCAACAGTGTAAATATTTTGCTTAAAGTCACACACTAATAAATAGTAGAACTGGGAGAAATTTATTAAGGAGTTAAAAGCCCATTCTCTGCACCTTTATAATTTTTTTCCTTCTCTTTTATGCTTTTTAAACATCTGTGAACCCACCACCCAATTAAAAAAAAAAACAAAAACAGTTGCTGTTGAGTCAGTTCTGACTCACGGCAACCCCATGTGTGTCAGAGTAGAACTGCACTCCATAGAGTTTTCAATGGCTGATTTTTCAGAAGTAGATCACCAGGCCTTTCTTCTGAGGTGCTTCTGGGTAGACTCAAACCACCAACCTTTTGGTTAGCAGCCAGTCATGTTAACTGTTTGCACCACTCAATACAAGAACTAGAATGTCACTGATAACTCGCATCCGCCTGTTTGTTATTCTCTATCCTGTTGCCTAACTCCCTACTCTTTAGAATTAAGCGCTATCCTGAACTTCGTTTCATTCGTTTGCTTTTCTTCATAGGTTTATCATGTATGTGTCTCCAAACAATATACTATTTTATTTTAAATTTTATAGACATGGAATAGCACAGTGTGTATTTTTCTAAAATGTACTTTTTTTTTTAATTAAGCATTATGATTCTGAGATTCATCTATGTCCATTGGTGTAGTAGTTCAGTCATTTTCCCTCCTGTATAGTATTCCATCATATAAATACCAACAGAACTAGCTACATAATTTGCGGGGCCCAATGTAAAATGCAAATTCAGGGCCCTTTGTTCAAAAATAGATTAATGTAGGAATAATTGACATCTTCACAATATTGAGTTTTTCAATCTATAAACATGATATATTGCTTCATTAATTTATCACATCGAGATTAAATATTGTCTAATAGACTTCTGTAAAGAATATATACGCTGCAGTTCTTGGATGTAACGTTCTATAAATGTCAATTTGGTCAAGTAGGTTAATAGTATTTTTCAGATCTGTGTTCTTACTGATTTGTGTGTGTGTGTGCTTGTTCATCTGTCACTGGGAAAGGTGTGTTACAATCTCCGACTATGATTGTGAGTTTCCCTGTTTTTCCCCCAATCCTGTCAATGTTTGCTTCATGTAATTTGAAGCTCTGTCATCAGATGTGTACATGTTTATGATTACTGTAGCTTCTTGATATACTTTCATCATTATGAAATGTCCCTCTTTGTCCCGAGTAATGCTTCTTGCTTAAAAGTTTAGTCAGATATTAGTATAACTACACCAGCTTTCTTTTGGTGAGCGTTTGCATAATAAATCTTTTCCTACCCTTTCACTTTAAACTTTTCAATAGCCTTGATTTAAGGTGTGGAGCCCTGGTGGTACAGTGGTTAAGAGCTCAACTGTTAACCAAAAGGTCAGCAGTTCGAATCCACCAGCGGTTCCTTGGAAACCCTATGGTGCATTCTGCTGTGCCCTATAGAGTTGCTAAGAGTTGGAATCAACTCAATGGCAGCAGATATACACAGTGGTAAATCTTTGTCTTTTAATTGGTGTATTTAGCCATTTTTAAAAACTTAATTCCTGATGTATTTGGATTTAAATATATCATCTTACTGTTTTCTATTTGCTCCACTGTTCTCCGTTCCCTTTTCTTTCATTTCTAGTCTTTTTTGGTGTTATTTTTCATTATTTTATTTTTTCCTCTGATAGCATGTTATGTAATCCTTTACTACTCTTTTAGTGTTTACCGTAGAGATTATAACATGCACACTGGACTTATTAAAGTACTTTCCCACTTCCTGGACAATGCAAGGACTTTAAAACACTTTAAATTGATTAACCTTCCTCCCATCTTTTCTGCTATT